ACACACACACACAGACGACCTCGCGTCAATATGCGTTTTTCGCATTGCATTGCTGCAAAAACGCATAAAAACTGATATTCCTCTTGTCAGAATCCTCGAGGAGAAGTAGCTGGCAAATATGAAAGGATTGCTCCGAATTTATATGATTTGTATTTTTAGCTGTTCACAGCCTCCTGTTATTAAAACTCAATTTATAGATGAAAAAGCATTTTCCGAAGTGCTTTCAGTATCCATTGACTACGATTATTCTCCACAAACACTTTCGTCCCATAAAAACCCCAAGCTGTAACACCCGAGCTTGCTGGTGCGGTCATGCACTTTTACGCTGAAATTGCAGCATTCAGATTGTTAACAAAATGGTTCCTGCGTTAGTTCAGCACGTGGAAGCAAATTAATTGTTTGAAAGGCCAAGGCCTTTTCTTGTTTGCAGGAGGAAAAGCCATCGGCTAGGATGGTGCGTCTTGCAGCGGCTTGAATCTCCAGCGTGCATAATTGTCAATTTTGCATTATGTCCGGTAGTTTTTCCGGTTAGCAGCCGTTAAAAAAAACGCAAAGTTGACTAAACACAGCATGTCAGAAGAAGGTTATGAGTTGGCAAATTGCATTTGCTTTTGAGATTGCGATAAAACAAAGCTTTTGTAGATCCGTAGACAAGCAATTCAGCCTTCAATCACAATTAAGACCGCAACTAAATATAGAAAATCTCTGCAAAGTTTCAGCTTCGCAGGTTGCCCGGTAAGCGAATCGCCGTCTTGCTACAAATATTACAAGCGTCCCGTAAAGTATGGCTCAAGTGCAAGTCGAAGCTCGATTTAGGTATACGGCCTCCCAGATAGATTATACATATTTTAACAAAATTTCAGCTGTCGTTTTCAGGCTAGCTTTAATTTTAGCACGGCGCCAACTGTAATCTTCGGCGTGACTGTACGCGTGACACAGGCGTACGCGATAACTGAATTTGAAATCTTTAGCTCACACATGAGCAGGGAACGTTAGTGTGAAATTTCAGCTTTCCAGCTCGTCTGGTTCTTGAAATCGTTTCCGCACTAAAAAATTTGCATTTTTTTCGGCAACGTGAGATCAAACTGTAATGAGCGATGGATTGCACGAATGACACATATGATCAAAATACGCTCATAAAACTTCAGATCTCTAGCTTCTTCGTTTCTGAATCTGAAAGCGAATGACAAAATTCACTTGCCCCAACAAACACATGCACACACAAACAAACAGTGACAGCCTTTTGACAGTATTCGTTTCTGCATGTTATGCAGATGCAGTAATATTGTCGATAGGTTGTTCCTATGCTTGTGTATGTATGTTCGAAAGCGAGTGAACTTTGCCACCTATTTTCAACTCAGCGATCAGAAAAGCTGGGAGCTTGAAATTTTGGGAACATATTCCCTCCTCATTTGTCAACTCCCTCATGTATGCCTAGTCGGGGAGCGATTTCATGAACGGAATAACCTGGAAAGATAAATTCAGCTACCAAGCGCGTTCATGTCACGCGTACAGAGTTTGCAGTTGGCGTAGTGCCAGCTCGAAGACTAGCCGAAAAACAGTAGTTGGTACCTTGTCAAAATATTTGCCACCCGTATGGGAAATCGCGAACCTAAATCGAGTTGTAGCGAATTGGCGATTTCGTTTACAAATTGAGCTGCAAGTCTGAAACTTTGTAAGGATATTCTATATTCTCGTGTGGTCTAAACCCAGCTTGGACGAAATTTCCTGCATGCGAACGTGATAAACTCAATTTTATCGCGATTTCAAAAGCGAATGCATTTTGCGGATTTCGTAGTCCTTCTCTTTCGACATCTCGTGCACTATCGAATCTGCATTTTCGATGAACGAAATCGCTCACCGAATCTGTGCATTTCTCTTTATGCAAATTGATAATCGTGCATGCTGGAGGTTCATACGGCCCCATGGTGCAACGCCACCATCCAGCTGACATCCTTATTCCCTTGCATGGGGAAAACACCAAAACACAGCTAACATGTTAATCATAATGCAGAAATCATTTATGCTTTTAACGTTCTAACTGTACAGGTTTAGCGCAAAAACGCACGATTGCACCAGCGAACCTTATCCGTCGCAGTTTGGGTTGTCTGCGTAATACGCAGAAACGCATAAAAATCCTGGAAAAGGCGTCGGCACAAGCTTAAGGCGGTTTACCATTTTTTGCGCAATCTCAATTGCTTCTGATGAATTTTATTCATAAGCCACATGTTTGGTTCGAACGGTGGCACCAAGGAGAGAAAATTAACGTTGCTAAGTGCGCGCAATTTCGACGCAGGCTCATTATTTGCGGAAGGCGGCAGTACGGAAGATATACAATTCTGTAAATCACGAACTATTTCACTTGCAACGGTGATTTCAAATAAATTTGTTTATTGCATCTACAATGAAAAAATTCCAGAACTATTCATGCATACTCATGCTACTCGTGCATATACACATATATATACTAAAACTTGTGCACGCACACTTGCACACACACATACACAGGTACACGGATGCACACACGCACAAACACACACATGTGCATAGGTACATGTGCGTACACATACGCATTTAACGCATACACATATACGTATACGCATATGCTCATGCAAATACACATAAGCAGACACTTTCTGCTACGTGCACTCATTCACGCATTCATCCAGCAACAAACTTAGCCCTTCATATTCACTTTCCCATACTTGACCTGCACAGCCATAAATCAACCAGCTAACAAAAAGTATTCAACAAATTAACATAATCAGACATTTCTGCTCATACATCCACATATTTACGAGCGCTCACTGAATCGTATCTACATAGCCAAGCAAATTTGGTTACACCGCTCCATAGAAAATTTGATCTTTTCCAATGCATGCAAGATTGATTTTTTATCAGTGTACAAGAACGAGTCTCAAGTTCTGTTGAACATAGCAGAGAAAATTAAAAAATTATTTTGTTTTATATCCGAAAAAAAGACGTGTGGTAGATTTTTACGTCTTCGTTTTTGACTTTAATCAAGCTTGTTTTAAAGTGATTTTCCAAACAAAAAGCTTTGCAATATATAGTTGGAAGTGCACGTGCATATAATTCAGAACAGGAGCGCTTAACGGGACTGCAGCCAAAATGCAGCTGCACTGAAAGTTCCACAGCAATTGTTCGATCCATGTTAACTGGGGCACAAAACAAATTTAAAGCATGCCAAGACTTTTCTGAACTAAATTTACGCCATGTGATGCATTTTATGCATTGCCGAAAAAAAAACTCACTATGAGTATTGCAAAAAAAAGAAATAAAAATGTAAACTCCATTTTCATGTAATCTACTATTTATGAGAGCTCGGGTACTAGAGAAGTATCTCGGATGTAACAAGTGTCAAAAGCAACCACTCACTTGCGAGGCTATTGGTAGTTCTTGCTTAATTTGCTTAGAAACAAGCTGATGGCGGATTTGACTTCTCAGCACATGCTAACAGCAACTTACCATCGAATCAACTGAATAATTATAAGGGGATTGGTTGTTTACCGACGAAGTCAAACCCTGGAACTCACGTACGACAGCTGCAATACTTTCCACAGCGTCGCGCTTGCCAGTTAACATTATTTGCTTTGCATTATTTTAGTTTTTATCTAAGCTGAATCAGACAGAACGTGGCTCACTGTCTTTCTGACCGAGTGCGAGCTGCAAGATTATGAATCCTTTCGTAGTTGGGCACTGCCATTACTACAACATAAACTGCTCGGTTGAGAATGCATGAAGTTATAAATATTATAAAATATCAAAAAGCTCGGAAAGAAATGCGCGAAGTAAATGTGTTATTCTTCAGGTCAGTTCGGATATTCTCCGTGTTAGTGGTTATACCAATCAGTTCAAATCGTTGTTGACATCAAGGCCTGCACTACGTCGAGAATCGGGTCCTAGTGCGCTGCTCCAGGATTTTGATGAACAAAGAGGTAAATACTGTAATAAATTAAGTACTTGCATGATACTGCTGGAATCAGACGCAATATCACTAAAAAAGTGCTTATATTTTTCTCTTTTTTAAGGTGCATACAAAACCTGATTCTCTCGCACGACATGTGAAACTTTTGACACATTTTCCACTAACTCAGGATCCAGGGAAAGCTAGAAAGTTGCCATTTTAGTAGAATGTTTCCTGCTCACGCACGACTCCGCAAATATGAATTCGGCTGTTACATGCATCAGGGCCTCATGTACGGGACGGGAAATTTTGACGGGAAAATACTAACTCGGAGAAAAATTAGAGCTAAACTGTTTCTAAAAATGAAGTTGCTCATCTGGGAATCTCAAAATTCTTATTTTTTGCTAAAGTTAAGAAAATCTTAACGAAAAATTGTCCCGTCATCTTCTGCATGTCTGTATAAAAAATATCTTTCATTATGCGTTTTTGCATATATGCAAATGCAAAAACGATATTAGCAAAAGGCTGTATGTGTGTGTGTCTGCTTGTTAGCACTTTTTGTCGCCCATGTTCAACTCCAAAAACAGAAAAGCTAGAAGGCTGAAACTTCGGGAGTATGTGCCCACACCATGTGCGACCCTCCCGTTTTAATATCACCACTCGTGTACGCCTGGGTCCCACGTATGGACGTCTTAAAAATGCAAATTTTTTGGCGGGAAAGTGGTCTCGAGAACCAGAGAAGGTAGAAGGCTGAAATTTTGCAAGGATATTCTCTGTGCATGCTTGAACTATAGCTTTTAAATTCAGCCCCAGTGTATTCGTGGTTCACAATTACTAATACGTGGAAGATTTAGCAGAAAATTGCTAATTTGGGAACCGGAAAAGATGAAAAGTTGAAATTTTAGGAGAATATTCCCTGCCCCAATACAACTTAAGGATTTTAAATTCATTCCTCCAGGTATGCGTGGTTCTCGTATACGGACACTCAAATTTTGGAAATTACTAGGTCATTGAACAGTTAAGTCATTTTCAAAGAACCACCGCTAAACGGAAATTGTTCATTTTTCTTTATGCAAAATTTATGATGATTTACGGTAGTGAGCGTACAAGACTAGTGTGAAGCAACAACGATTCATGTAGTTAACGGCGTAACTATTTCAAGTTTGGCGCAAAAACGCATGACCGTACCGCAAGTTTGGTGCGTTTCAGCCTGGGTTTTAGACTGGCTGGAATGCAAACATTGTTTCCAGAAATTTTCGCCTACACCACAGAAAAATAAAA